GGTTTTAATGTAGATGTTTTTATGTACAAAGAGCTATGAATCTGTCCAGGATGACTTGTTTGATATTAGGGAGGGCTAATGAAATTTCAAAGTTAGCATTCCCCAAATAAAATGGAAAGAAGACACAGGGAGAAAAGGAGCAGATTTAAAATTAGTGAATCTTTGTGTTTTATGGGTTCCAGGTTATTTGGAATGGAATGAAAGTTAATGCTACATCCTTTTTTCCATCCTGCCAGCCAGTGTCTGATCCAAGAATGTCTCTTATTTAAAGGGCAGGGCTCCCTCCACTGTTCTTAAATAAAGGCTTTCACTGTCTGAGATCCAATCCTCCTTGATTTTCACAATAACATTGTAAGACTGCATGAAGAGAATTATTTAATGAAAAGAAGTTTTGCATATGATTCCCCTATCATAAGCCTGTTCAAGTCATATGGTTCGATTTACATTTATGCAAATATCAGAGAATAGAGTAAAATTACCAAAGGAGGGAAGGACCGTGGCATGTCACAAACAAGATGTGCCTATTTGTATTTATGTTTGCTAATGAAGTTCAGCCAGGACTTGCTCTTTGATTTTGATGTCTCTGTCTCCCATTCCACTTTTTGCATTGTAATTAAACCACTTGCCCACACACATACAAGAGGACACCAAGAAAGGCAGACTTCAACTTTTAAAAATGCTGTTTTGTAACTTGCTTATACAGGACCTATGATTCAGGATTTATCATCTTTAAGTGATACAACAGACCTGTGGTATGACATTGTGCCTTACTTTTAATGCGAGCAGAACTGCAGACTTAAACCAACGGAGGATTTGGCCCAATAAACTTTAGTGTCTAGGATGCCCGCTGGAGATGTTTTACCCTAGACTTTCCAAATTTTATCCCAAATAAGAATTAAGTGTCAGCCCACTCAAAAATCACAGCTGTTTCTTTCTCTTGCCAAAATTGGTCTTTCTCATCATGCTACAGCTGTGAAGTTATGCACTAGTGTAAACTGTTAATTGGAAACCATTTCTAGCAAAGGTGCCTGTTCAGAAGTCTTAGTTTCCTAATCTCGTATGTTACCTAGTTGAGGAGTACTCGTGTCTTCAGTTTTGGCTGGGACTTGTTTCTGTAACTCACAGCTTCAGTATATCTTGTGTAAATAAACACGATTATCTGCCCCTAAGTTGGTCCTATGAACTCTTCAGCAAACTGTTCCATTTCATGTGACCTACTGTGGGGATGGGATTTTTGCTGCCCTCTTCATGGAGCAGTTCTTTGTGGAGCTACCTCAAGCTACCAGTACAGGAAAGACATGGGACCAAAAAAGAAAGTAGAAAATGGATGATTTTTCGTTAAATTTGAGGACTTACTTGACCAAGGCCTCTTGTTCCAGCTTGCCTTTTTAAGCTGTTAGTTTTCCCTTCTTTTACCAAAATAAGGGCAAAGCATGGTCTTGCCTTTAGGTGACTGACAGCAGTGAACACTGCTCATCTTTTCTGCTTCATTGTACCTCCTTTCAGACTGCTGGGGGAAAAAAACTGCCTTCATTTATTAAATAATGATAGCACTCCCAGGTAAGATCTTCATATCAGAATCCAGTGTGCTTTGATAACTTGACGGAGCAACATTTTCAAGGTAGGGTTCCTCCACTGTAGACAAATAGACGATGCCTGAGAAGCCACAAGAAGGTTCTTGACTTGGTGCCTAGATGGGCTGGGGTCAGGACTGGGCAGCCGAGGACTAAGCAGCAAAATCATCATCCCCTAAATGGGTGCAAGTGGCAAGAGTGGGCTGGGCAAGGTGAAGGTCATGTTTCTGCTTTCTCTTTGGTCCAGCCTGCTTAGCCTCTCGTCGTGGGTGGCAGCAATCTGTCCTCTCACCTTTAATGAGGTCAGAGAAGGGGATGTGAAATCTTGACATATTATAGCAAGGAGCAAGAAGAGTTTCTGTGAGAGAGCTAGATTGGCCAAATAGGGTTGTATCAACTTTCAGAGCATGAAATCCGTTCTGGCAAGGTGAACTGTGTAATTTGTGCCAAGCTAGGTGGTTTCCCATGTCTAAAAGGTGGTCCCTTGGCCACCAGTGCACATCGTGGGTATGATAACAGGCTGATGGGCCTTCAGCCATGGCAAAAAGTCAGCCCACAGCAGGAGAAATCAGAGCACAGGCTGGTAGACAGTAAATGTTTAGAGAAAGCACACAAAATATTTGGATGCAATAGACACTTCCCAAAAGTCTCCAGGAGAGACCATGGGCTTATGTTGTCTCCTGACATTGGGCTCTAGCAAGATGTATCCAGCAAAATAGATTCAGCTATGGCTTGCCATTTTAATCCCACATCAAGGGACTGCATCGTCCTCTATCTCTGATTCTGAGGCAAATAATCATATTTTTTTTAAAAAAATGGATACCGCTAAAGTGGTATAAAGCACCCAAAAGTGTCATCCAAACCCTTTGCATTATATCAAACCACATTAAATGACCACCACATACATATAAACTCTTGTTTACAAGGGCACATACTCATGCAAGTTTTATAAAAAATGTCTTGCTGTTTCTCTTCACAGTTCTTGGCATGTAAAGATACGTCTTTTAGCCTCACAAATTCAGCTGTATGTATCTTAGAGATATATGGTGTAATTCAGAACTATGGGATGACTGTAAAATAGTTTTGCTATGCATAAAAGCATGTTGGAGGTTAACCTTTATTATCTAGTACTGTATCAAAATAAGAACGAAGTGTTATGTTGTTATGGAATGGGATGAATCAAACTTCCTCCTCTGAAATACTGATTTTCAAAAACAGTTAGCTTTAAGCTGAGGTTGAAGGTAAAGATTGTTTCTGGGTGAAATGCTTCAATTTATGGCTAAATTCCTTAATAAAATATGCATATATCAGAATCACTTTCTCTGGCTTGGGGAGGAAAAACGTGTTGTTTTCATTATTGGTGAACTTCAAAAATGGCTGAAGGAATTTCGTTGGTCCTTTCCAAAGAAACTGAACTTCAGGCAGAGATTAAAGCAGAGGAAATTTCAGCCCAAGGGCAAATGTTTCAGAAAGTTTAAAGTATGTGAAACAGGGAGTTAAGTAGGAAATAGTTTTCAATCCTAACTATAGCCACACTAGTTATAATATATTGCTAAATATAGACTGGTGGGTGTGTCCAACTTTCTGAAGGTGTTATCCTCCCTCCTCTGAAATTTGCTTCTAAAATGACCTTTTCAGGGATATAACTAACCATATAATATTGCCCATGTTGGAAAATGTTAAACTTCATTATTTCCCAGGTAAGCACAGCCAAGCCCAACTTTGCTCTGCAACCAAAATTCCTTTCGCAAAATTCAACCTTTTCTCTCTCATGTGCATCCAACTTTGTACTTGGGCTCATTTATCTTCAAGCAAACTGCACAATAGCCCTGAATATTTTGTTTATGTGCTAAAGGTTGTCACGTGGGTTATAAAGCTCTGTAAAAATATCAGGGTCAAAGAGCTGAAAACATTACTTTCGCATCGGCTTCAAAATGCCAGCCATAATGGTTTGGGCAAGCTGCAGATCCAAACTCCCTTGGACTTTCTGCTTGTGGTTGTGGGAATATATTGGATCCTTTCAAAATTATTGGCTAGCCTGTTTTTGTGCATTTCGTGTTTGGTTGTAGAGTCTTGGGATTTTTTTTTTATTTTAATTTTTTTTTTAATTTTTTGTTTGCGGTGATACTGTCATGTCTGATGACTGGCTATATATCCCAGAGATAATATTCTGCTCTTTAATGGCATATGCTGCTAGATCTCTGTATTGAAGTGTGGTGTTAATGTAAAGGATGCTGTAATCAACATCTTGTACATATTTCCTTTTGCATATTCGGTGTCTGTAAATGTCTCTCTGAATACATGCTTGCTGCTTTTGAAACCATTTCCTTACAGTTCGGTAGAAATACTATTTATATACAAAGTTGGTTGAGGTTATCCTTTGCTCTTAATGATACTCCGCTAATGCTAGTTTAAGAGAGGAGAAATTGATCTCGCTGAAATTAATTAGGAAATTGGTAGAGCCACTAAAAATGATAGTTATATATGGCACTTCCTAAGTGCTTGAACTTAAGAGCTACAAAATAAATCTGACGAAGCACTAACAGTAATGAAGTAGACGACTATATTTTCTTTTTCAAAACTGAATGACTGCTGAAGGTGAACCAAATAAAGCAAAAGTATTTTAACTACTTTCCTTTTTGAAGATCTCATTAATATCAAACAAAAAAAGCAATACATTTTAAAACTGAGACTATCCCCTTGAAATATAGGATTTCCAGTGTGCCTGGGGTAAAAAGGCATAGTTTCCTATATTGATTCAGAAAGAGATGTTAAAAATGCATGAAAGTTATTTTAGTAAGACAGTGTCACAGGGTCTTTTAAAATTCTTTTTTCAAATGCTATTTAACTCTTGTGCTGCTTTACCATTGGAAACACTTGATCCCAGGTTACAATATATGGGATATCAAATTATTTTGTACTGACCAGAGGGTCTTTAATTTGGTTTTTGGGGGGTGGGGATTTTACCAGTGTCTGTTTACATAGCTTTAGACTCAGACTAAAAATTAGGTTTGGGAAACTGTAATTATTCAGTTTTTTATAGACTATTAAGATAGGTTAGAAATGATTCTCGAACACAGTGAATGGAGAACACATGCTTATAAAGGACAAACAGATTCAGCATAATAGTGTATTTTTGGCCTCATCTATTTTGCAGGCAATTAACAAAATAGGATGTTACATTTTTGCATATCTCTCGCTCCCCTGGAATAGAGTCACTAACCACTTGTTAACCACACTGATTTTTTAATAGACAGAGCGGTTGCTTATAGCTTCCCCACCAGAAATGTTCAGATTAAGCACACTATTAGATTGCAGCCAGAATAGTCTACAAAACAGGAAGAAAGCCTTGCCTTTCTCTCTGCCTTCTTCCCTTGTTTCAGTTGATGTGATAATTCATCACAGATTTTTCTCTTTCTTTGACAGAGTGCCTACCGCAGAAATGGGATGACTTTTCTCGCCTGCTAGCATGGATGTGGCTGCAGCAACAGGAAAGACACTGTTATATTAAGGTGATTTGCTTTTCCCCTCCATGGAAGAAAAAAAAAAAATATAATAATACAAGCTCCAATGTCTCCGTGTACCAGTGAGTGGGCTGGTTTGTTGTGACTATCTGCTGGCTGGCTCTGTCTCTTTTTCCAGCCCCCTCAATCGTTATTCTTGTTTACTAGCTGGAACATTTAGCTAATTAATGGCAGGATGTTTGGGATAGGGTGTAGGTGGACAAGAATGCAGATCAGACAATGCTGAAGTTTGCAGGGGACTTGCTGCTGTCAGCCCCTTTCTGCAATGAGATGTCATTTTTTATTTAAGCTTTTGGAAGTTTGTACGTTCTCCTAGAGATGTTGTTTTGTAAAGCAGGATGGGGCAGAAAGAGGCCAGAGACAGACTGAGTTATGTAGGTTTATTTAGGTTATGTAAAGGTTGCGTAGGGTTTCCTTGTGACTTTTACAAAAAGAAAAACCGGTTTCCACTGTTTTCCACTATTTTGCAATGATTTCTCACAACTAATTTTTAAGTGTTCAGACAGCATTACGCTATTTAATTCAGTAATGGGCTTTTTTATGAGAGTAATATTGCAAGTTCAGATCCAAGGCTATTCAGAACAAAGTTCAGGTAAACTCTACTTCACCATTGAGAGCCCTGTGCTTTTGCAGACCCAAGGATAGAATAAGTGCTCAGCCCCAAACTCTCAATATTTACATCTGAGGCTCGAGCCATCACTCTCTGAAATCAAGGAAAGCCTATGAAGTGATTTGGTACTGGATTGAGCCCCTATTCATAAAAATATATCCTAAAGTAGTTAAATAGCTGTGTCTGTGTCAGTGGTTCTAGGAGAAGGTTTAACATTATGTACTTGCTCAGCATTTGCTGCAGGGAGCAAATGTCTCTGGTGTTGAAAAAGGCAGCATTAATGCTGGATTTGGTTAAAGAAGAAACGGGCTCTTTTTTGCCTTTCCTTTTTTTTTTTTTTTAAATATATTTTAATTCACATTGTTTGTTTTCAGATTTATTTTTTAAATCTCAGTCCCTCCCTCTATGCTTCTTCCCGTTCCCTGCTCCTCCAGCCTTTGCTGGCCTCACAAACACATTCAGTTCTTCCCATAAAAACTGTACAAATATAGAGCTAACCACGATGATGCTTGACCAGAGAAAAGGGCTTGTGCTTCAGCCCATCATCAGGATCTGCAGGCATGGACTGCTCGTGTCCCTGTGGAACCCCGTGGCTCTACTTCAGCCGCTCTCAGCCCAGGCTTGAAATCTAACTTAAACCCTCCAATTAAGACAGAGCACTCAAGGGATCGAGGGGAGATCAGCAAAATATTACTTTTATATAGTGCAGCCGTCCTCCTCCTTTGTGCTTAGTATGCGAGGTCTTAATTTTTACTCCCACTGTGTGCTCTTGTGGTCGTTTGTAAGTGGGTTTGTTGCTCTGCTTTCCTGGACCTGCTTGCAAAAACTTTTTTTAAAAAAAAAAAAATATATATATTTTAAATACACAGAAAAATGTCTCTTCACAACCAAAATATTGTAAAAGTCAACTTTGTACACCGAATATTACTGCCATTCATAAACTGCTTTGTTTTTCTTTTACCTGCTTACTCTTCTGTTTTCTGGAATTAATCTGTGTGTAAAGGACTAAAAGTAATGTGTACAACGCAGTGTATTAAACGGGGCGGGGGGGGGAGTTTTCTGATGTTCCATCTGTGCTTCTTGAAATATATGATTAAACTTTTCTTTTTATCATCACTCTTATTTTTGTTGGCGTCCTTAATCATGGAAAATTATATGCTTGCTGTAAACATCCAGACTTTTTAAAAGGACACCAGCATTTATTGTATTTGGTTTCGATCTTCAGGGATATAGACAGAAGAAACCATTTCAGGCATTGGGCACTGGAATCAAAATTCCTTCCGTAGCTGTATCTCTCCCAGCTTTTACATTTTAAAATATGCATAAGCAGGAAAAATACTGGCACTTATTTTTTACTGGTCTACTTAAAGTCCCAGAGAATGAAGACTCAACATACATTTCTCTCAGAAATATGACAGATCATGTTTTTGTTGGTCTGCTGTATGTTTGTCTATCTTGAACAGGCTGACAGGCAATTATTTATAAAATCTGGGTTTGCCCAGCAAACCCATATAATAACCTTTCACTTCTCTGCACAAGTCAGTGTGCTGAATTTAGAGTAAAACAAGGTAGGTTATGTCTCCCTATCTTGGACTAACCCAGTTTATTCTTATTTTGGGAAGTAATCGCTTTTTTTCCCATTTCCAGAGCTTTCTTTAACTCTGTTTAAAACAAAAATGAGACCACTAGGACTCGTGTTGCACTTCACGTGCTGCAGAAGCAGAGATGTGTGTTTAATCTGGTACTACCCATTTTATCTTAAACTTTTTTCTTTATAATATGTATAAAAATCTGTTTGAGATTCAATTAATGGCAGCGCACAAATAGCTTTGCGCTCGTGTAATTTCAACTTGCAAATTGTTTTGGCTCTTAGCAAGGATTTATGGTTACTGATGAAGCAGGTTATGCTGATTATTTAACATTAGTGACCTGAAGAAGGGAAACAGAACCAATTTCAGTAGGAATAAGGCTGCAGAACGTTTAAAGGAGTATGAGACTTTCTCACAATTCAATGTCTGCCTTGCTCTGTGGTGATATTACTTAGTTTTTTGGTCTCTCAGTCCAGCTATCCATGAAACAGGAGTAATAACTGAGCTTGAAAATTGTCAGAGGTGAGGGAGCCACGACGCAGATTTCTAATTGGGCTTCGTCTCATTTCCTGACCTGTCCTTCCTCAGGCTTTCTTCTGAGAAAATAAAACCCTTTAAAAGGCTTTTGCCTTCGTCTGGAAATGGGGAGAAGCTGACAGTGCTCTATATTTCTCCGGAGACACTCAGGACCTTGCAGAATTTGCCCCCCCGGCCAGATTTTCAGAGGACACTTCTCTTTGTCAAGTGAAGATCTCACTGGGGGGGGTGAAGGGGAGCGTTTTCTGGCACTTCTTGAATTTAGATGAACCTTAGCATTGTATTAACGTTCTGCCATCAGCCGTGTGTAGCCCTCATAAAATGTTTTACAGCTTCCCCTCTCGCTCATACAGAATGTTTCATAGTACATAAACACTTCTACTAATAATTTAAGAATAAATAGATAGTGACATCAGTCACAAGTCTAACCTCTGGTTGAAACTAACACAGTTATAGGGTGGGATTATTTTTATTTTTTATTTTTTTTTCCCCCTAAGTGAATCATCTTGTCCAAGGTCAGGCTTTTTATACCTCTGCTCTCTATCCCCCCGGCGCGGCGGTGCAGCGAGGGAAAGGCGGTGGTGGCGTGCATTAAATCCAAGGCTTTATTCGGAGGGCACAGAGCCAGCGCACAGCAACGGAGCCATCCCTGAAGGAATTGAATGTAAATTTGATGGTTTAAATAAGGCCAGATGCCTTAAAAAATTATTTTGAAAGCTGTATCTTTAATGTAGCTCTTTTTTTTTTTTTTCCCCCTGCTTAAGATAATGACGTTGCCTTACAAAATAATAAGAAAAAATAGCTCTCATCTACTGCGGGGAGACAAAAATCAGATACTTTGACTTCTATAAATCACTGAAATGTTGGCAACTGAAACAAACTTTTAGAAGGCAGATGACTGCAAATTTGAAGGAAACCTTCATATTTTACTGTTAAAAGCCTTTTAACTGTCTAGAGAGCACTCTGAGACACTACATTAATAGCCATTCTCAGTAATCAAGCTCCACTATACTTATATACTATTTTTCCTAAACAAGATAGATTAGTAGTGGGAGCGAGCTGGAAAGATAAATAGAGAAAATCAAGAACTAAAATTATAATAATACAGTTTCACTTTACATTTTATAGCTCTCTTCTATATTTGTGATTGATAATTCATCTTAATTCCTATCAGACAGAAATATTGGCACAAGAGTCTTATACCAATGTCTGTGTATTTCTGGACTGCATTTCATCTGTATTTCAGATGCTTTGCAGATTTTCTTACTGATTTCGTGAAGATGTGATCTGTCAATCTTTGGTACTTGTATGCCTTTGATTACTGTAATATCTACAGTGCCTCACAGTCTTCCCTGTATTTATGCCTGCAGCACCGCTTTGAAATAATAATGTGGTGATGTCTCCATTTCTTTTGGGGCACGGAAAGGCTAAATGGCTGGCCTCGTGTTGGGAAACCTGGGATGGTTCAGAAAACCTGGATTTCCCAAAGCCAGACTGATGCTTCTAGCTCTCTGGCACCTTCCCTCTGCAGGGACAATGGCAGGTCCTACCTCCATCAGAAAGCACACAACCCAGCCCCGTAGGTTAGAAGAGAAAGTGACAAAAAGCAGTCTCCAACTGGATCTACAAGAGGAATTCGGGGAGGAAGAATGCAGTCACTCAACTTGGATCCAGCCCAGGATGCAACACTTTAGAACCTTCCAGCTGAAATGAGCTCCTGCAGAAACACAAACCCTTCATTTCCACCAAAACATGGACCCTGGGACACTTTCCCTCCTCCCCACCCTGCTGCATTTCTCCATCAGAAGTCACCACGTGGGACGAACTCATTACAAAAATCCTAATTTGGTGCTGCCAGGGTGTTCTTACCTTGCTCTCCTCCCAACCTGCCTCTGCCTCCTGCATCGGAGCTGCAAGAAATAACAGGAGAAACACAATTAAAAGAGGGAAATGCCCTCTTTTAAATGGGGCAGCAGCTGCCAGGGGTGTTCACGAAGATAAAGTACAATGTTAACTTTTAATAAATGAGCTGGGGCTGAAGCTAATGAAGTGCAGCTGAAGTGTGGTGCCTGATCTTCAGCCTAGAACTAGACCTGGAAGAAGACAAGGTGTAAGACACCCGAAGCCATAGCGGGTTTCAGAGAGTCAGAAGTCAATAAAGCAAGTTGGCTCAAACCAGTTCTGTTTAGCTCTCATTTCCATAAGTATTTAATTAATCTGCAAAATAAAAAAAAAACCCAAAGAAACTATTGCATTGCTTGTACTGACACGATTTCTT